ATCATAACAGTCGGCACAAAATTGATTTTCATATATAGCACATTATTATAATCAATACAATTATTATTCCTATCATTATTACTAATATTATGAATATTACTATTATCGTATTATTATTATTGCTATTATTATTACTGATACAATTATAGATACAGGAACAATAATACAGAAGATTTTCTCAGGACATACAATAACAATCGAATAATAATAGTGATAATTAAAATAATCCACTGATAATTACACAAGGAATAGATAAATAAACCAATAACTATGGAATCAAATCAGGACAAGGGCAAGTTTCAGTGAGGTGAGTATCGATCTCAATGAGTCTGTACTCATCCAACGGTAGTTTACGAATAGCATAGCATCCACCCTTCTCACCTTTATTTATATCATTATAATAGCAATTGTTTCTATCAATTGGGTATTCGGATAATTTTTTCGGACATCTGAAACAATTAACTGTTATAATAAGAATAGCAATCATCACAAATTCGTATTGAAATTTCGTGATCATTAGATGAAGAAAACTCGCAAAAATTAATATTATTTCTATTATCATTATTACTGTTATTACCATTAATGTCGCTGTTATTATTACTGTCGTTGACAACCGAATGAACAAATGAATATAATGACTAAATAAATATAATGAATAAATGAATACACGAATAATGCATACTTATAGAAATTGCACGGTGCTCTATCCTCGGATTGTGCCAAATCAAGCGGACAAGGCGGATATCCGCCTCGAGCTTGTACGATAGTCTCGGGTCGTACTTTGCGTACCATGAATGGCTCTTCCTGTCCACTTGTTTCATTCCAGCACTCCGCACTACACTCACTCCAGTCGCCGAAACGATACAAACAAGGCATTTTGATTGTGCCGAGGGCATCTTGCCTCTGAAATGTTTACGATCGAAAACACTATGCCATACCTCTGTTCGTGCACTGTGAATCTAAACTTCATCGAAACTTTAGCAAGCTTATTCAGTATAAGCCACGAGGATGAGTTCAAGTCAGAGATTAGGTTTGGGCTGTGGCTTGCACCTATGTTTGACCAGATCACTTCATTTTCAACTATTATACCCGATTACGATTATTCAGTGATCGATGACGGATGGTACGATCAAATACCGTCATGTGATGGCTTGTTTTAGCTTCAACCGCTAAAATGAACAACACGATTCACATGAGATAAAATAAAATAAATTCGAAATAAACCTTAATCAGCAGCACAATGAAGTGGATGAGAAGAGCGACAAGAATAAGCATGAGAATGATATTCAGTGCACTCAAAAAGAAGTTGATCACCGTTAGGTAGCGCACTTTTCGATTACGGATTAACGGTGAGATACGCTTAAATTTTTACCGAATTAGGTTGAAAACTCAATGAAGCAAGTAGGCTAACGTTACTTCTAGACATTGATGTATCATATTCATAAGAGTAAACGAACATNCAATGACAAGATTTTCATGAAACTTTCAAGGAAGTGGTACTAAAGTTACGATAGGAAAACAGTAATGACCAAACCCCTATCCAGGACAACAGTCGGCTGCTGGACCATGATGTTTTGCTGTGCGTTCCAAATGGCCCTCCATCCTCGCTCATATCAGATAACTGCAAACTGTTACAGTCTGCCATAAAATAATGTCACTAGTGATAATAAAAAATATAATAATAATGAATAGAGGTAATAATAAATAATAATAAGTAATAGTGAATAATAATAGAAACAAATAATAATAAACGATGACGCACATGATAGTACTAGGAACAAATGAAAGTAACAACAATAATGATAACAATCAACCTTTCGATCTCACATGTTCACGACAATCTATCTATCATCTCAGAGCAATGCAATCACTGAAGTGAGAGTATTTTATTCATCTTTTACTCACAAGCTTGTTTGACCACCCGTTATCACTGTTTATCCACCGGCCAGTCAAAACCAAAAACTGATATCCTCAACGAACTTAATCAACGCCAATGTACTTAATCAACGACCTTTTCAGTCTCCTCGCCAATTTCCTTATCCAAATATCCCGGCTCCGGAAGACTTTTATCGTCCATTCTATCATCGGGCGCCACCTGATCTGCCCAATCACCCTTGAAACTGCTCTGAAATATAACCACAATTATTGAGAAGTGGTGATGAATTTCGCAAAATGCACATTTACTGAACTGAAATGGAATTAGTGAAACAAAAATACTTGATTTTTCAACGATATTCATTTCCTCTTTTCACGCTCACGAAAGTCGAAGAACACGAAACCAAAAGAGATCCAAACAAAAACAAATTCTTCACACTGAACTCACATTAATAAAGGAATAATTCACTTAATTAATATATTATATATCACCGACTCAATGAATCGCAACACGCAACTAAAAATGAATGAGTGCATGAAAACAGATGGATGAATAATAGCGGTAAGTAAACGAAATGCACTAAAATGAAATGCGCACTTCGCCAGATTTCACCGATGAGCCTATGCTGTTCGCAGGAGTACCACCGTCCTTTTGTGACTGACTTGTGGCCGGAGATAATGCGGGCGAAAGGCCAACCTCAGGTGTCCGAGGTCGTGATCCCGAATCGCCCTGAGTTGCTGTACCGGGCGTTTCCGAGACTGCATTAGGCGTCTTATTTCCACCTTCTGAAATACGAATTTATCTGGGAAAATCATTCTGGTAATCAAAGATTAGTTTTGCGAGTCAATTCCAAAGGCTACGCGCGCTCTTTGAACACCTGACGAGTGCCTGAGCTCGAGCCTGCTCAACCTGAACACGGACCTCAGAGTAAACGGGCCTTAGATTGAGCCTACCCTATCACTCATAAAAATTGTTGTGATATTTTGCAACTGTCCCGTATCAACATTGCACTTCACCCGAGAATATCTATATGTTATTGTAACACCAAAAAGTATTGCACACAACAAGCCTAACTCACCATTCTTCTCCATTTTCTACTTGCCCAATTGACTGGACGTGTTTTCGACGATGAACCAATAGATGAAGGCAAGAACTCCTCCGACAACCGTTCCGCCTGAACAGAAACACAGAAAATGAAATTGAAACAATATCATGCCATATTTGAAAATCGATGACGATTCATAAGACATTTCTTTTATTTGCATATAGTATGATTAGTCCACCGCATAACTTATGCAGATTTTCGTATGCATTGGTGAGATTTCATTTGAGATGTTTTCTTCATTAAAACAATGCTGAGGTGTTGGTTGTCACAAGTACAATTGCATCTCTGATAATGACCTAATATACAAATCATCTGATTAGCTAAATTGATAGTTTCATATATGCAACTGAATAAGCTAGTTATCGTTCGTTTTTTGCATCTCAAATTTAGATCGTCCCTTCGCATCATCTTAGGGTCATGTCGTTCTGTTATCGGAAATCTTCGAGTACGTACTAAGAATTCAAACATTTTGCATCTGTTTTACATCTGCAGAACTCATATCTCCCAAGTTGAACCAACGCAATCCGTTTGTTTTTTCGGTTTGCGGTATGTGAATTTGAAATTATGTCACTGTGGAATCAGTTTGTGGTTTGGATTGGATTTCTTCTATTTTCTTCAGCTTATGTTGTTTGGTCATTTTAATGGAAAATTGCGAAGGAAATTGTGTGCATCACTGAATAATCGGTTCACCCATTGCATATCACCAGTCACTTGTGTTTCATGAAGAGTTCATTCATGAATCTTTAAATGTGTATTGTAATTTATTTCAATTGTGACTGCTGATCATCTTCATCACATTCTTAATCACATCAATTCATCGACAACAGTTCACTGCAAAATGCTTCAGTAATAATTGCTCGGATTCGGAAAACTTGAAAAATGCGACATATAATATAGGGTACTTGTTCGAGAAGTTTTGATGATATCAAATCGCATCTCTATTGTAATGTTAAATTCTAAGAATAACAATACTAATAATGATATAAAAAGCTGTACCAACAAAACTATTATATCTGTGCATAACCCAACAAGAAGAAGTATGCTAAAGATAAAATTCAACGTCAAGAAGTACAGTGAATATTGTATTTTAGATTGCCTGCAGGTTATGACGCATCTATCAATGTTTTGCATTCAATCAAGACGTATCAAAGAATGAATGCATGAATCAACAGTTCATTTTGAATGAATATATGGTGCTTTTATTTCCAGACTTTTTGCTTGCAATTATTACTTCTCAGATCGATTGTTTCGCTCGTTTTCAATGGATTTCAAAATGTGAATTGATGAAAATACATCCGATACGCCTGAGATTTAGCGCATTTTCTGGTTGCATGGGGTTGAGGTGCGTTCGCTGACTGGCATGCTCCTCGCAGGTCATCTCACTTCGTAAGCGACAACAACAACCACGGCATTGTGCAATCAGCTGTCCTATGTTTTTTATTCCTATTACTTGTTTGTATCATGCAAGCAGAATTCACTGATTATCTCGTTAATCCTTTTGCAGCAATCGGCATCATTCAAGAACTTCTTCCAAATCATTCAAAGCATCCGATACGCTTGTTTCCAATTGATCTCCGTTGATCAATCAGTGAACGATGCAATTCAAGAAGCATCAGATCTTATAACGTTTCAAGTCATGAAACTCCGGTTAGAATCACTCAAAAAACTGATCAAAAAGCACTTCTGTTAAGCATAGTAATAAAGCTGAACCGAAGACAATTAAATGAACATTCACAAGCGAATGATCAATTGAATGTGTTTGATTTTCGGTTCCTGAAATCTTGCGATCTACTCACACTTCCGAATTTCGTTAACCACCGCAACATCATCAAAGCAGGATATCTGCATTCCCGTAGAATTACTATAGTATGTATTGTTGGTACTAGTGGAACTAGGCATAGCCTATATACTAGTTCCGTTCTTTCTCTCACATACTCAATACCTCTTCGTTATGCTCTCAAAATCTTTCCAAGAAGCTGCAAATTTTTTCCAATCCAAGTTTCGATAAGACATGATAGTCATAATATTTTTTTTTCACGAATGCATTCAGTAATTCTATCGTCGTCATCATGTTCTGCTCTCTTTACCGAAAAACTTCTCCGCTAATTTGTCGGTGAGTGACGAATCGTTCGAGAAGATGATTTGTATTCAATTCTTTTTATTATCTCATCCGATAATGAACATAATCATAAATTTCATTGCTTTCCTCACCATTGTTGTTCAATGCTATGTTGTTATTGAAAATTGAAGTGGACTCTCATAAATTTTGCATTTAATTTGCATCATTTATCTTTGTTTAGTGTCCATTCAGCACAATCAAACATTCTCGATCTGTATTCCTTTACACTAGATTCGTCATCACCATCTTATAGCACATCACTGTCGTAAATATCATTAACCCACATTATAGTTGTTATCAACAGTCGTCATTATTTCTGACGAATACAAGCTCAAAGACTTTGTTCACAAGAAGTTTTTCTCAATTCGGTTGTTTGATCGATCAGCTCAACAACATTGCTCTGTTTCCGTTCAAGCTTTCTTCACATGCAATCGTCTAAGCGCTAACTTCATCCTCCTCACATTCTTTCCGTTCGGGAACTTGAAAAAGTCAACAATATTTCAGCCTATTATAAGAAAACAGATATACCACTTTGTACATATCAATTACTTGCTAAAAATTCTTGAGTTGCATGAAGAAAAAAGGTCGTTTCCTTCGTCTGATTTCGATTTCTTGTCGATGTTAACAACATCCATTCATTAATTCAATTCGAATCAATCATTCATCTTTCGATTCCAAAAGATTCAATCTGATTGTTTTGAATCGATCAAACTGTGCTAACTTATCAATCAAAATGATTTTATCTCCGATATGATTTTCCAACCTGTGGGCAACAAAACAGAACGAAAAGCANGTGTAAAAATTGAGGTTCAATCAGAAAACGGTAACTAATCTGCTTGTGCGTGTTATATTATGGAGTGGTTTGGTACGGCATGTGATTTTCTCTCGATGAGTAGCCCTCCATCCGAAAGAGGCGCAAATACCAGCCGAACTCTGCATTCGATCCTGGAATGTAACCAACAGATTCGCGAGAAAACATTAAGTTGATTATTTAGGCCATTTTGAACTGACTGTCAGAAACTTTGCGCATGTGAATGTCAAAATGACGCACAAAATATCCAATCAACTCTGCAAAAGTTTAACAATTCCCCCAAAAAATTTCCATTCTGCACATCAAAAAACAAAGAAAATAGTCAGGCTTTAACGTAGGAATTCATTCTTCAAAGAATGATTTATTGTTATTGCTATTGTTACATACATACCTGCATGTAACACTACTGTTCGATAATTCATAAAAACAACCAAATCATAAAGATCTTTTTCATATTCTTCTTGTTTCTATGCAACAAACAAAAAAATTTTTTCATCGCCCCACAATCAATTTCACATTCCAACACTGCTGCAAAATTGGGACGTTTCAACTGTTTCAGATATGAGAGTTCCGTTTTCAAAACTAGATTTGCTGGCTTCTGAATTTGAACGAAAAATACATAAAAACTCTTCTCACTTCATTGCAACGTTGCATTCCAATCTTCTTGCATTATTATCATAATTTCTATCATTTACTTCATACTCATTAAGTCGTTCGTCTCATATGTGTACAGAAGGGTTGTTGCTTACTGAAACAACGCTAATTCGCTTCAAAATCATCAATTGCAAACTTAATCCTTGGAAATTCGCGAAGAAAAACTTTTCAACATTACTCATATTCAAAGCAGCTAGATGCTTCCAATTGCTTCTGCAATGTAGATTATGATCAAAAGGTGATCAGTGATGGATGATGAAACATTTAACTTTCAACTGTTCTCATGCTTGCATTCTTTCGAAATTTCTCTGTAATTTTGCTAATTGTAAGGATAATTTTATTATGCTCTCATCTTCATCATTATTATCATTATTATTATCATTACTGCCGTATCACAATTCTGCTGTTCAAACTATCCTTATTACTGTAGTCTGTTTGGAAAAACTAAGAAGAAATATTTTTCAACAATCGTTGAATTTTGAAAAAAAAAACGCGAAATTCCACAAAATCAATTAACTGAATCTATCTTCTCAACACATTGCCATAGTTCATCATTGATGCACAAAAGAAACTCTAAATCAAATCGAATGTTTCCACTGCAACTCAACAGTTCTCTTAATGAAGAACTTTTTTTTCATATAAGTTGACTAAGGGTTTTCAGCAAATCTGTTCTAAAACAATTTTCTCCTCATGATCAGCTCCATCAGACAGCACCAGCTGTACAGTTAGTCACTGAATGATTTATCGTAGAGGATCTTCATCGGCGTGAATCAGACCGAACTGTGGGTGGTATGATATTTACCAAAATATTCATCTTTTTAATTCTGCACGTTTTTATCCGCACTAATTCTCGGCCAATCCAACGTAGTGCTTCATTTTCACACAATCTGCTCATCAAAAAGCGAGCTCGGAAACAAACTTTGGGAAGGTCTCTCATCTTGCTAACATATGTCATCGTCAAGCTGTTTCAGAAACTTTTCCCAGCACATTGCCCACTTCGTTCTCCCCAAAAAATCGAACATTTGAACTGATCAGAGAATATGATGATGAACAACCAACAATAATCATATTAAGTGTAACAGAATAAAAATAACCAGAATTAACTATTCATCAATGCACATTGCAAAGTTCGATTCATCATCACACATGTTCATTATTATCTTCTTTGTCATGTCATAAATAAAATCTCTCAGGTGTGTAACTCACTTCAAAGATAAATGAATACCATAAATGTGTTCTGCACATGTTTGAAAAAGCTTTATACAAGTCGTTAATCTGCTCGCTTGATGGCTTGTAATCTCACTTGTATGATGAATGAATAATGCCTCATAAAAATCTATCTCAATCTCAACAATTCAAAGTGTACACAAGTTTATTCATCGCTTTCGAGTATATATTTTGA